GGTTCAGTATGTTAAAAAGTTTATGTGTAATACTGAGTCATTGTAAAGCTTTGAGTAGATTTTTACAGCTCTGTCATTAAACTACATATGGCCCAATCAAAGAACTCTTGCTCAAATTGGTTGGATCTTTTTCTGTTATTGAGATGCATTCATCCATCCTGTAAGAAACTTTCCTTATCACATGCACAATATTTATGGCTTTGTTTGTGAAATAATACACTCTTTGTTTACGTTCTTGATAAAACCTGCCTACTTTTGCCTCTTATATTGCAACCTACTAAAGATTATTAGTATTCAATGAGTATGTACAATAATTCTAGCTATTTTATCTGAAATAATACACCCAATATTTTGTTTTGTGATAAAACCTGTCTCATCTATTTCTCTTAAGCTCTGAAGCAACTCTCATTGGATTCATGGAGTCTATACAATACGTATGGCTATTGTTTCTGAAATAGTAGACTCTAATTGTTATTTCATTATCTCCTCTTCTTTCTTGTTCAGTCTTTTTATTGAAAAGCAGACAAAACAAAAACATTGGTTGCACCCCAGACTGTCCAGGAGCTCAGGTGAGTCAGTGTTCTGCAACCTGCAAATCATCTTCAGCACAACACCTAGACCAGGGGTGGGCAACTGTGGCCCTCCAGCTGTTGGTGAACTACAAGTCCCATCATGTCTCTGCCTTTGGGAGTCATGCTTGTAACTGTCAGTTTTGCAATGCCTCATGGGACTTGTAGTTCTACAACAGCTGGAGGGCCACATTTGCCCATCCCTGACCTAGACCCTTCACCTTTGTATGTGTGGACAGACTGGGGTTTCCCCTATCAATACCAATAGGTATCCTTCCCATACTAGACTCCTCTTACACCCCCAACTGTAACCTGTATTCCCTGGGAACCTTGGGCAGTTTAATGTCCTTTGCACATAATATTACCCCTATGTGCCTGTAAGCCCAGCATCCCACTGTAAGATATCCCTGTACTCCTGTCTCCCAGTACACCCAGCACCCTGGTGCTGTAATGTCACAAATTAGTACTGCTGCCTGCCTCTAAGCCTAGAACACCAGTGCTGCCCTATACTCCTGCCAGTGAGTCCAATATTTAGTGCTTACCAAGATCAGCTGTAACTTGCACACGTGGGCTGTCAGATCCCACCTTCCTCCAGCATGCAGGCTGCACAGAGGGTTCACAAACCCTAACCACTCATGACAGTCCCTTTATGACAGATCTCATGTGGCTGCTACATCCAGAAGTCAATTCAGGCCTATTATCACTGGATAAAAAGTAGGTCACATCCAAAACTAAGAGTTTTCTGCCGCATTTTGCAGAAACGCAGTACAGTCCATTTACCATGATTTCCTATGGGACAGGTTCACCCTGTGCGTTTTTTGTAAAGGGTGAGGGACTTTCTTTAACACAAAATGTTGCGTTTGTAGTTCTATAGACTTCAATGGGAATGCTGCAAAAAAGCATATATTGCGTTTTGCCGCATTTTGATGAGTTTTTGATGGCAGTGGTTAAAATCTGCCTAGCAACAAAAAAAATTACCCCCCCCCCCCACAAAACGCATAAAAATGCAGCAAAAACATGCACAAAATGCAATTGCAAAAACGCAAAATGCAATGCAAGAACGCATCAAACACAAAACTGCATAGGTGTGAACCTAGACTAAGAAAGGCTATAATAAATCATTTTGGAGTTCTGCTGATTTTGTGTTTAAGCTAAGCAAGAATGTAAGATTAAAAATATCTACACATGCTAAATATGTGATGCCAGAATATAATATTGTTGAAACTGACTGTGAGAATTGTACTGTTCTACAGGATTGGTGTTTTTCTCATGTTGCCTTCAAATGCACATAAAAGGGAACCACTGAATGGTGTTTTTTATATTTATTTATTTTGCATTGGTACATGACCTCTGTGGCAGTGGTCAGCTCCCCATGCACTATATATATATATATAATACCTTTCTCCTATTAGCCTTGAAAATGGCTAGAATTGATTTTTCCACATGGACTTACAAAAATGGGTTTGATGAAAAGCCCATGAACTGAACACAGGCACCTTCGCCCATTCCTGTTCCATATTAGCTTAGCCTCGGCACCTTACAACTATACCCATTTAATGTAAAGGCAACAGCAGGGAGGTTAAATTGCAAGAGTTTGGCATCGTCTTTTCAGGAATCTATTATCTGGCCTTGCCTGCTGGTGACACTACACCTCTACACATAAAGCACTTGCCTTTTGGTGAGTGTCTAATATCTTCAAGTTTTAGTGAATTTATATTTGTAGTATTGTTATTTATATCAGTTTTTGCTTTTTGTGTTTGTTTCACCAACTGCCTTGTTTATTACCAAAGTTAACATATATTGTAAATTGTTGCACAATAAACACTGTAAACATGTCTGCATATTTTTTTCAACTATGGTAGTAATTCTGGTCACTTCTGGTTCCTGTAGTGAAATTTCTGACGTAATGCTAAGGTTCAAACAGCATTGGTTGTTTGGAAAAGTATTTTAGCTTGTCTGTCTCTATTAGGATTGCCACCTGTCTGGGTTTCATGCGGACTGTCCAGATTTTGAATCATGTGCAGTGTGAAACCCGGACAAAATATTCAGAATAGATAGGGGATTATTGTGACATCTGGAACCTCGGGCACCCCACAACAAATGTGGTGCAATTTCCCTGAGTGTCCACAATAGTGCCCCCCTGCCAGGCAAGTTAGTAGAATCAAGCACCGGAACTTGTTCTGACACTGGGTTCCAGGCCTGGATTTGGGGGGTGCTGGGATTTTGTTCAAATCTCAGGTAAGACCTACAAAAACTTAGTTTAGCGTAAGGATTTGTATTAGAGGTGGGAGAGGATTTGTGTTTGGGGGGGAAGGGTCTGTACTGTGAGGAAAGATTTGGGTGAGAGGATTTGGGATAGAATTGGGGACATGGAGTATGTGTGTATGTGTGTGTGTGTGTGTGTGTGCGGGGGGGGGGGGGATATGGATTTGTTCTGGAGAGGATGGGAGGAAAGGATTTGTTCCAGAATTGGGGAGAGTGTGTTGTGTTGAAAGGGGGATTTGGGGGAGAGGATTTATATAGGGAGGGGGATTTTGGGGAGATTTATGCTTGGGAGCATTTGGTGTGTGGGGTATTTGTGCTGGGATGGGGAGTTTTGCTGGGAGGGAGGATTTGGGAGTGGAAAAAGTTTTGTGCTGCGAAGGGGAATTTTTCAGGGAGAGGATTTGCGCTAGAAGTGGTATTTTGGGGGAAAGGGGAAAGAGGCAGAAGACTGTACTAGAAGAGTAATAAGAAGGGCTGTGCTTAAAGAGGAGGAGAGAATTTCTGCTGGGAGAATACATTTGTGGGGGGGTGCTCTGGGAAGGGGGACCTAGGGAAAGAGGATTTGTGCAGGAGGGGATTTGGAGAGGGGAATCGGATGGGGAGGACTGGAATGGTGGGCTGTGCTGGGAGGGAGGATTTGGGAGATGGAAGAGAATTTATTCCAAGAGGAGTATTGTAGGGGAGGAGGATTTGTAATGGTAGGGGAAGAGGATTTGTGTTGAGAGGGGTAATGGAGGGGGGAGGGAATAAGTCCTGGGATGGGGAAGAAGGGGTGGGGGATTGTGCTAGGACTGGGGATTTCATGAGGGTGGAGGAGGACTTGTGCTGAAGAAGGGGGAAGACGATTTGTTTTGTGGGATAAATTGTTCTGGGAGGGAGGGGGATTATTTTTGCTGAGGGTGAGGTAAGCATAGAGATTACTGCTGGATTTTTTTGAGGGAACGAAGGGAGTGGAGATTTCTGCTGAAAGGGTAAAGTGTGGGAAAGTTTTGCTTGGGGGGGTAATTTTGCACTCTCCTTACCCCTATACACCCCGGACTCATGCACTCTTTTTGTTTTGTACCCCTGACTCCTACTATGCATTACATACTCTTGCCCCTGCATTCTGTGGATTGCATATTCCTGACCCTTGCCTTTTGTGGATTGCATATTGCTGACCCATGCATTCTATGCATGATATTCCTGTCTCCTGCATTCTGTGCACTACATAGACCCCTGCATTCTGTGCATAATTCTTCTGTTCCCTGCATTCTGTGCAATATGTACTCCTGCACCCTGCTTTCTATGTGTCGTACTCCTAAACCCATCACTGACTACAGCACCCTGAGCTTTACATATTCCTGATCCTTGAACATATTGCGTTACACACCTTGGACCCCTGCATTATGTACCCAAAACCTGATACTGACTGCAGCACTCAACCTTACAGACTCCTGTACTATAAACACAATACTATACATTGTCTAGTCTACTTCTCACCAAAGTGATCAATGTATTAACAGTTGCTGGTTGCTAAGCATTCCTTGACTATTTTAATGAAGGTCTCTTTTAACCACTTGCCTAAAGGGCACTTATACCCCCTTATTTACCTGGCCAATTTTCAGCTTTCAGTGCTGTCGCATTTTGATTGACAATTGCGCGGTCATGCAAGATTGTGCCCATATGAAATTTTTATCATTTTTTTTCTCACAAATAGAGCTTTCTTTTGGTGGTATTTAATCGCTGCTGGGAGCTTTACTTTTTGTGCTATAAGCAAAAAAAGTGCAAAAAAAATTGAAAAAAAAAAAGTTTCTTTGTTTCTATTATAAAATTTTTCAAACAGGTAATTTTTCTCCTTTACTGATGTGCGTTGATGAGGCAGCACTGATGGGCACTGATAGGTGGCACTGATGGGCACTGATAGGCAGCACTGAAGGGCACTGATAGGCGGCACTAATGAGGTGGCACGGATAGGCGGCACTGATAGGCAGCACTAATGAGGTGTCACGGATAGGTGGCACTGATATGCAGCACTGATTGGTGGCACTGATAGGCGACACTGATAATGGGTACTGATAGACAGCACTGATAGGTGGCACTGACTGACATCACTGCTGGGCACTGACTGGCGGCACTGCTGGGCACTGACTGGTGGCACTGACTGGCAGCACTGCTGGGCTGCACTGATGGACACTGGTGGGTGGCACTGGTGGGCACAGGTGGGTGGGCACAGGTGGGTGGCACTGGTGGGCACACGTGGGTGGGCACAGGTGGGTGGCACTACTGGGCACAGGTAGGTGGCACTTCTGGGCACAGGTGGTGACACTGCTGGGTGGCACAGGTGGGCGCACTGCTGGGTGGCACAGGTGGGCGCACTGCTGGGCACAGGTGGGCGCACTGCTGGGCACAGGTGGGCGGAACTTGTGTGTGGCACTGCTGCGCACCGATCATCAGGGCACTGATGATCAGTGACCCTGATGATCGATGCCGATCCCCACTCTGACAACTGCCAGTTTTCGGCAGTACTTTCCCCACGATCTGACAGCGTGAGGAAAGTGCAGCCGAGAACCGGCATTTGCATTTCCCGGTGATCAGCGTGTCATTGGACACGGCTGATCACGTGGTAAAAGGCCGCTGTGATTGGCCTTTTACCACGCCACATGATCAGCTGTGTCACAGAGATCGCCGGGTGCGGGCCCCCGGGGGCGCGCAGGAGAATGCGTTCTGGGAGGACGTCATATGACGTCCACCCAGAACTGGCCGGCCGCAGTGCAGCCGTCATTAGGCTATCTGCGGTCGGCAAGTAGTTAAGGTAGGCTCAGATAAAATGTTAATGCACTGAGTATTTTCAGTGTACACAAAATCATATGTAACAGAAGAGTTTTATTTTTTAAAAAAATTATTATTGTGCTGAAGCTTATAAATATCACAGTCTGTGACTCTTACTTGCAGGAAAGAAATCTAAGCATGTTTTATGGGTACAAGAATGCTTTTGTTTTTATTTAACAAAAAAAACTGTTTTAGTTAAAAAAAACTGCTAAAGTGTTCAGGTTTGGCTTGAAGAAAAGGAGGCAACCCTAGTCTCTGTACACAGGTCTGCATAAGAATGTGTACTTTGGAGTTAACTTTAGGCATTGTTTGGCAAAATTAACCACTTCTACGCTGCCCTATAGCAGAAATACTGCTACAGGGTGGCACGGGTGCGCAAAATCACATATATATACGTTTTGAATTTGCAGTCCCGGATAGGGGGCGCGCACGTGCCCTACCCGCGCCGCCATTTGCGGTCTCGGCTGTCAATCACCGGGTCCCAGCCGGTGTTTCCTCACTGGCGTGTGGTGATTACCGAGTATTACTGATGGGAGTGAGACCAGTGAATAAACAACACAGATCTCTCCCCTGTCAGCTCCTGCACACTGCTTTTTATTAGCACTGATCACTGTATTGGTTGCACTGGGGATGTCTGTGACACCAAGTCAGTTCCCCCCAGTGTCAGAATGCCTGCCGCAGTCTCACAGCGACTCATAAGTCGCTGATCACCGCCATTACTAGTGAAAAAAAAAATGAAAACAAGAAAATTCCAGTATATATACCGCCATTTCTAAATGCTATCACTTTCACATAAACAAATTATTTACACGTATTGGGATTTTTTTCAGCAAAGATATGTAGCAGAATACATTTTGGCCTAAATTTATGACAAACTTTGATTTTTTTAAATTTTCTACTTGACATGCAGCAAAAAATAGAAAAAATTGTCGGTCTTTTTTTGTTTGTAGCGCAGAAAATAAAAAACGCACAGACGATCAAATACCACCGTAAGAAAGCTCTATTTGTGGGAAAAAAGGATGTACATTTTATTTAGGTGCAGCGTTGCATGACCATGCAATTCTCAGTTAAAGTAACGCAGCACTGTAACACAAAAAATGTCCTGGTCAGGAAGGGGGGTAAATCCTCTGGAGGGCAAGTGGTTAATCAATTTGATTGCTATTTACGTAAATAAATAGTGCTTGCTTGCAAGTGGAGGATAATGTACATGTGTATAGCACACTGCTGAGCTTTATAAATATACCAGTATTTTTTAAAGCAATTGTATGGCTGTGGTAGAACTGTATGAATTTCCTTTGAAAGAACTTGAAAATTTAATTTGCTTTCAACATTTAATTTTGATATGAATGGAAGGGAAATCTCATACACTGTTAGAAATGTGTTCATATGAGAACAGTTTCCCATCCTGCATTTTCAAATAGTCTCATCACTACTGGCAAAAATTATCACTGATTTGACTACATTAATGTTTAGAAAATCAAACTAACATTCTGTAAACAAAAAATGTCTAGCAAAATTCTACTAGCGTATGATAAGCTGTAGATACTCGCTTTTCTGTTCCTTCTAAGACGTTCATGACACTTTTACTGCAGTTTCTAAGGTGCCAAGAGACAGCTGACCCATCAAACCTGACTGTTCTTTGTGAAACCGCAGTGGAAGCAGTTAGTAATTGTGAAGTGAGCATCAGTAAAATGGGACTGCACAATATTTGAAGGATTTCTTCTGCTGTGTTGTCCTACTCAGACTAACAGCATACCCCAAATTGTCCTGATTCCATTGGAATATTCTGAGATTTTAACACAATTCAGGATGTGCCTCGGAGCTAAGTGCTGGAGCGCTTGTTCCAGCATCTGACTCCAGCTCTCTGCAGACTCTGTGTGGCAGAATGATCTCTTGCCAGACAGAGCCTATATAGTCCAGGCAGAGAGGAGGAACAAAGGAGAGCAGCAACAAGGGACACAGACTTCTGTTCAAAGTAAGTGGTTTCTACTGACACTAATGTTAAAGTGTTACTAAACCCACAACAGTAATATCAGTCTGTATATGCAGTAAAGCATGCTTGTTATACTCACTGCGGAACCTAAGGGGTTAATTCTCTGCATTTTGTAAAAAAAAAAAGCTGTTTGATCCTATTTTCTCTGTCCCTCCTCTTGTTCAAATGTCCACATTGATAAGACAGACTGAACCCATAGCCACATGCACTTGCTCAGTTTATTGTGTATTGCTAGAGAGTTTTTTTTCCTTGGGAGAGTGCATGTGATTAGTACAGGGCCAATCAGCACTGTCCAGACAGAGGTCAGGGGTTTAGCATCCTCCTATAGCAGAGAGAAAACATCTACAAGCTTTAACCAGTGCTCTGCTGAAGTCACAAGACTGCTCTAACTGCTGTTGAGAAAAGGTATTTAGCAGTTTATATTTACTAAAATAATTGCATTTCCATGTTCTGTGTACTGTGGGAGACCAGATATAGTGAATGCAGGGTCCTGGGTTTAGTAACACTTTAATATTGTTCCTTTCCGCCCCCTGCTAGCACTATTGTTCTCCCCCATCTCTACTTGGCACTTTTATGTCCCCCACTCTCCCCTACAGATGATTGTTCTCCCCACCACTGGGCACTATTATTCCTCCCTCCCTCCCCACTGGGTGGTATTACTTCTACCAAATATACACAATTGTTTTTCTCCACCCCCTACTGGGCACAACTGTTATTTCCCACCCCCACTGGGGACTATTGTTTCTCCCCACCTTCCATTGGGCACTATCCCCTTTCAGCAGTATTGACCCCCACTAGGCACTGTTGTTCCTCTTGCTAAGCCCTACCGTTCTCTCCAACCCAGATGGGTAAAGTCAGCACTTTTGTAAGCACTGATGGACTTTGTACATGTAATTTTATTCACATTGTGAACTGTTATGTTTTAGTCATGTATTTATCATATGTACATCTTTATGTAATTGGCATCATAGGACATATACATTTTTAATAAACCCCTGGTAATGGTGGTAGTGCTGCTCTTTGCAGCGCATTAGTAGTTAGGACGTTGGAGCATCAGCTGCGGTCACATCTCACACTGATCATTGCTAATTTATTTATGTATTAATTAATGTATTTACTTGATTTGAGTGTGTATCACATATAGCATGGGTGCCTGTCTCTCAATTTCTAGGATAAAAAATAACCAATGACAGTTTACTGCTTACACATTTATAGGAATTATTTCTGATGATACAGATTTTCCAGAGCACCATTGTATGAACTACACAAGAATGCTGACCAAGGACATGCAGTATAGTAACCCAGCACATTTCAATGAGCAAATAAAAAAAAACTAGCAGGTCATAGTTAAAAATAACAATTTAAGTCATGTGAATAAATGATAACCTTGAAAGCAGCATTGACAATGTTATAGTATGTCTCAACCACTGTCACTTCTGTTGCACAGTCAGCATATAAAAGTGGGAAAAAGTATAAATAAATGTGAAAATATACTGACTATTATGATTCAGGCCTGAGAACATGCATCATTTTCAAAATTTTGGTCCTTATATAAATAATTCTTAGGAAATAGCAAAGAGCTACTTCATAGCATCACTTATTTACGTTTCTGCCAACTCCAACCTGGTTTATCGCACTTATGTTATCACAGATCTTTATGACTACCCAGTTTTGAGCATATTGCTTAAAACCCATTGAACTTTCAGTTTAAATCAGCTAAAAACATTTCAGATACATAAAAACAAAAGCTACCCACAGCTTGAGTAGAAACATTTTCCCCCAGCTGTTTCAGTATTAGAGCTCTCCAATCAACAGGGATCATTAGGTATTTTCCTTTTGCCTAGTGAATGGGGTGAAGCTCTGCTGCCTTCCTTCATCCAAATATGTGCAAGCAAAATACTTTTTTTTGTTTTGTTAATATTCCATGCATGTAATTGGGTATTTTAGAAGCTGAAACATTTACTAAGCTCTGAGCATAATTCCCTTGCAAAGTGATTAGTCTATTTGTCTTTAGTAAATCAGTTGCAAAGATTTTGCACACCTGGAATGTATTTGGATGTAAGTTCAGTTGGGCTTTACTTGGCCTTTAAAAGAAGAAAGTGTATTTTGCAGGCAAATATAAATCAGTTCTCTATAGTTATTGTCTTACCATTCTACAAACATGCATGAAGAATATAAGTAATATTATATTCAGTCCATTTTATGTTGTAATATCCATGTTCATTTCATGTTCATGTCCATTTGTATTGAGTATTACAGCATGCAATTGCCACTTTGAGCTTTGGGAATACAAGTTTCTGAAAGGAATTATTGTGTCAATTACCTGTAGCAATCATTCAACACATGCTTTAGACTGTTTTTCTTCACACATGTTTGTGTGGTCCATGTTTGTTGTGATCACTACAAATATGTAACATTCACTGCTCAGCGGCACCATGCTCTGTCACGTCTGTCTGTAATTACTTCTGTACCATTCACTATTCAGAGTTACTACGTACCGTAAACTAAAATGATGGTGTGGACCTCCTGCGCTCAAACACTATTAGTGTAAGAAACCTAATTGGGAGCTGCTGCTAACATTGAATCATATACCAATGATCATGTACAACAATTGCATGGAGGAATGTAGCGCTACTCCCATAAACTACTAAATAAAAAATATAAATTAAAATATAATATAATATATAATATATAAGTGGGGAAAAAATTCATATAATATGTATTATAGTGAAAATTTAAGTGAAAACATGCCACATACT